TTGATGTGCCACTAAGAGATTGCATAAATCCGGATTGGTAGGTGTGAACTGTGCAGTACGATGCTGTTTAATGAGTCCTGGAGCTGTGATTTCTGTATCTTTAACAGTTCAATTGAAACTTGAAAGTGTGTTTCTTTATCAACCTTAGTAGACACCTTGGATGCTGCCATTGAACAGGGAGTCAGTAAGCCATGGCTGGCTAAACAGTTCTGTTTTAAATCGCTCCTCCCACCATGAGATGTTAAGGGGTCCACGTGTAGCCAAAAATATGAGATACCTGATCCAGGATAATTTGGAACTGGTCCAGAGCTAAAGCCATGCATCCTCGGATGTAAGCATCTTGATCAGTGTAGGTATGCTCCAGAGCAGAGTTGACTGCTGCAATCAGGCAACTAATAGATGGCAACATCCTTCTCACAGCTGAATCCTGCTCTCGGTCCTCAATAAAGTAGGGTGAAGCAGCTCGTTTGCCACACAGGGTTCCAATGTCCTCATCAACTGTTGGGGCCATGGAGATTTTTGTTAGGCCGTAGACATGAGAGGTAGAAGGATAATGTCTGGGAGCAGAGAATCCGTCCTTAATACGTTTCAGGCTCTTGAAACCATCATTTAGTGTACTGGATAAATTCAGAATACAAGGCCGAGGTAGTAGGGTGATGGTAGACAAGTCCCGGTTCCTAAGAGTATATGAGTGATCCAGGTCATCTGCTGAAGTACTCAAGGGAAGTTGGAGCTTCTCAACAATCCAAACGAGTACCTGAGCTGTCTCTACTGCTGCAAAGCTACCCCCAGGGGTAGATAACTCAGAGTGAATGGGAGATGCAGGCATGACTAGTTGGACTGGATCAATCTCAGGAGGTGGACCAGATGAAGAGCCAGGAGCTACCGAAGCCGGATGGGCTGGAGTAGAAGGCTGTATTTGGTTCCAGGCTGAGGTTATGGCCCTGATCATCATATTTAGAGTCGGAGTCGCTGTAGGAGTGGGATTGTTATCAGGTTCCCATGACTCAGCCATGATCCTAGAGTGAGTAGAAGGATTTTCGTGTGGATCTGTACTGTGATCCAGATTGGTCAATGGCTCTGTAAGGTGATGTAGATCGTATAGGTGACCTGGGTCGGTAAGATGATCTGGATCTGTAAAGTGATCTGGATCGATTTGATGCACTAACTGGAAACTGTGATCATGATCTGGATCTGTCAGGTGATCTGGTTTGCAGTTGTAATCTAGATTGGTCAGGTGATCTGATTCGAAGTTGTGATCTGGACCCGTTTGGTGATCTGGATCGGTTAGGTGATCTGGATTGATCAGGTGATGTGGATCATAGTCGTGCTCTGGATCGTGACTGTGATCTGATTCGAAGTTGTGATCTGGACCCGTTTGGTGATCTGGATTGGTTCGGTGATCTGGATTGATCAGGTGATGTGGATGGTAGTTGCGCTCTGGATCGTGACTGTGATCTGGATCGGCATGGTGATCTAGATCGGGTTTGTGATGGTGATCTGGATCGTTGTGGTGATCTGGATTGGCGATTATGAGACAAAACTTGAAGTGTAGATTCATGATGAACGTCCCCCGGCGACGCTGTTGGAGCCAGCTCCGTCCGGTTCAACTGTGGGGGGACAGTTGACTGGTTGAACGCTGTTGGCCAGGCTCCAAACAAACAGAGTCAGTCGAAGGGAAGGGAAGATGATAGTGTCGATCTAAGGTCCCCTGATAGTGTAGATGGGACAGGCAGCAATAAATTATCAATCACAACCACCCGCAAGTGATCTGACGCTATGGAAGGAGGTGATTGATGCGTACGTAATAGGTGCCGAATGTCCTCATATAAGTAGGAATCTGATGAAGCGTCCATAAAATCATCTTGAACCCAAGACGTCGCTCTCTTACGTGAAGGTACGATTTTCTGTCGTTGTAACTTCAAACGCTTGGTGAGAGTGGGATCAGACTCGGTTTATTTCCTGTCTCTATTGGCAATTCTCTGGGAGCAGACACAAAGGGAGGCCTTAAAATCCACATCTCTTAGTGAATTACACTTGCCACATCGTTTGTTCCAGTTACATTGTCCAATACAGTCAATGCAACACGAGTGAGGGTCAAGGGACGAAAAATTTGTCTTGCATTGAGCACAAACTTTCCTTTTTCTTGACTGAATATCTGTTTTCCCCCTGATGTTAGGGTGAATAATGTCCCTAATATACAGAATGTCCACACTGTCGTGCCACAAGAAAGAGAATGATCATTCAGAGGTAGTCACGTGGGCAATTAGTAGAGCATGCAGCAAGCTTCATTAGGAACTAGGAAGCTAATTAAGGAGAACAGCATGGAGTGCACAAATGGACAAGGAGGCCTCTGGAAAAATCTTTACAGTTGTTCCACTAAAAGTCGAAGCGAGACCGTCGTTCCACTAAAAGTCAAAGCGCGAGAGAGAGGTTAGATAGGATAAGTTAAAAAATTATATTTAAGGGATGGACGTACCATCAATAGGGAGTCATGAATAAAGTCACTTCTGTTCTGTGTGTTACAGCTTCAGGGTCTGTACCAATCTGCTGAATTCACAAGTGAGCACAGTGCTTGTAATTATCAGTTGATCTCTAGCTGTCACTAATATTAACTCATGGGAGCTTCCCCCCACCATTCCCCAAGATCCCACACTGAGCCAAGACCTCCTGCTTCTGCCTGTGCTCTCACTCCAGACAAACAACATGTGTGATTACACTAGAGACCTGATCACTTACAAAATCTGTGTATTTTCTTTAACTGTTCCATTTTACAATGGCGAGGAGAGGGGATGATTTCGAAAAGTTTTCCATCTCAGGGTAAAACTGAATTGGAACTTTGATGAGGATGAAAGCAAATATACACAGCATTCGTCCAAATCAGAATACAATGATTGAAAAGTACTTAAGTGGTGAAGATGTGTTGTTTTGTTCTCCATCCAGGAGTGGAAAATCACTGACATTCGAAATTCTCCCTATTCAGACAAGTCAGTAGAAAATACAAGCCATGCTACTGTTATTGTTGTGTCATCCTTGATTTGCATGAGAAATATAAATCATTAGGCTCAAAGCAATGTACCTCAACGATGTAGGCATTTTTGACTTTATCCATAAACTTTGAAAAACCATTGTCATGGGGATCTGATGGCATATTCCTTGATTTGTGAATGGAATTGCTGATATCCATCACGTCATCAATATACTGCTCATTCTTCTCCATGATGCCAATAGTTTTTGTCTGCCTTTTTGCGCATTTCTTTCATGCATTAATGAGGTATCCATGATACAGGTGGCATAATGCAGGTAAAGGCAGATGCAGTGTCTGTTTCATAGGAGATTTCCAATCTTGTTTCCTGCCATAACGACTTTCTCTGCGAATCCCTCGATTCAAAATCATCTTTTTCACTTCAGTTCCACAGGACTGGTACAAGTTAATTACAGATTTCTTTTCAAGGCACAAAGTATTGTCCACAGGAGTGGCCTCACCTAAACATTTTCTATACACAGTATGTGTAGAACATACCCTGTGAACATTTTTCGATCTCCCCCACCAAAAAAGTTTTCTCCTGTTCGATGCGACATCATTTAAACTTCCACATATAGTGCAGACAGAACCTTTGGAGTTTGGAGAACATAAGTAAGGGACAGTTCATAATTTATGGCTAGGGTGGGTGATGATGATTTTAAGGGGGGGTCACCCATTTTGTTCTGGGAACTAGGGGGGGTCAGCAATTTTGTACACATGTACTAGGGGGTCAGCAATTTTGTACATAACAAACATTGTCACTAAGGTGAGATAATCCCCCGCCGCAAATTATCAAATCAAACTTATAAAGTAATGAACGTTTAAGTTAAATGTCAACAAAAACATGACCAGTCAACCTCTCTTGATATCTTGCTCTTTAGGTGTTCAAACACACACATATTTGCAAGACTGACTTTGACCTTGACATGAATGTCATAGTGTATGTGAAATATGCAAAAAATGAACTAAAGAAATTGCTTATTGAAAAAGATTTAAGGGAAGTCTTGAAAGTCTGAAGAAAATCCAGTGAACCATCTTGAAATATCTTGCTGACAATTCAGGTTAAAATGCTGAAATCTACAAAGAAAATTAAGTGAAGGTCACCAAAATCGACTAGGCCCTGCGCCTTCCCTAGATGAAGCTTGGTGTGAAATATAAAGAAACTCCAGGGAATGGTTCTTTAGGTATCTCGCTGACAAGCATAACCTGCAGGTTAATATGCTGAAATCTTCAAAGTGTCTCTATGACCTAAGAAAAGTAAGTGAAGGTCACCAAATTCAACTGGGCCCTGCGCCTTCCCTCGATAAAGCTTTGCATTGAATATGAAGAAAATCCAGTGAACGGTTCTTGAGATAGCTTAACATGCAGGTAAAACGTGAAAGTCGCCATGTGACCTTGAAATGAAGGTCAAGGTCACCAAACCTGACTTGGACCTTTCTTATGCTGTGATGAACCTAGGTACCAAATATGAAAAGAATCTAGAGAACAGTTCTTAAGATATTCCAATTCGTACGTACGGATGTACGGAGCCTAATACTATATACCCCGCTTCGCGCTAAACATGCGGCGGGGGATAAAAATATGTTTGATATTATGCTTAGAAACAATGGGAAGAAATTATCCTTCTGCAGATTTGTTTAGCCTCTGAAAATGAAGAAAGTCTCAGGGCTCCTTATTTTTTTTACTATGAACTTTTTTTCTGTAAAATATGTTCATTCCAGAGACTAGTTGTTAGTCTATTCTGTGTCGAGAGTTATAGCGTTATGTTGCTTTTAGCAATATTGCAACTTGCTGTAATATCCAAGCAAGGACACCAGGCATGGGACTCTGATGTGAACACACTGTACCCTAGTGGCAACATCTGCCTTCAGGAGTTTCAACAGATGTTTAAACCACATGGCTACACCAAGTGACGGATATTTTGAGGAGGTGTATATCAATTCAAATAAAAGTATATAGCACTGTTTGAACTTACCTTGCTTAAACACAGATCTTGTTCTGGTTCCTTGAATCGAATGGTTGCCTTTCCTTCACTCACAAATTTTTCAAACACCTGACTGACATTATTCTTTACCTGTGGAAATAGAAGCAAGTGTTGTATTAACTAAACATGTTTACATCATGACATGATCAATTTCTCACCATCCATTTCAGTTATGATGCTCTGTTCCACACACAACATTATAGGCATTTTACATTCTGATGGGAGAAACCCTGTACCTTGTGCTGGAGTAGTTTTCCACACCACCGTTAGATTTCATCAGAATAACTATGTGTACTAATATCAGGAATATGGTTTGATTGAAGCAGACAAGCGATTATTCCTGTTTCATGTACATTGGTCCCAAATTCTTAGTTAATGTTGATTTAAAATAATGCTCTGTTGCTGTCAAGAGTTTTGAAAATTTCTAACATCAAATATATGTATCGGGTATTTGTAATTAAGATCATAAACATAATACATGCTGATAATATACTAACAGGAAACAAATAAGGGAACACCACTTTATGGCAGTGTTCCTTTATTTATTTTCAGATTTCCTCCCACAGCACTATTCAAAGCTGGTGATGAAAACTGGAAAATATTAAAGGAACAGTTGAATTTTCCTGTGTTCCTTTATTTGTTTCTCCCAGTATATATATATTATATTATCAAAACTTACATGAATTAAAGTATTGGTTTGTGTTTGTTGTTTTACACTCCACTCCAGCTACATAACTGAAAAATCAAGACTGGAGCCATCTGGTGATGTCAACGCAGGATCACTGAATGTAACCAGAAGGATACCACAGTATGGGACAATTCAGTGTTTGTAGCAGCTGACAAGGGCATAAATCGTATCTTGCATGACTGTCAGAAGTTTTCAGAAGCCTTTTAATAAATCCTTATCCCCTTGCATGCTGAGTTCTTTCCATTCACACACATTTTAATAAGGTTTTACATAAACTGATAAAAGTATACTATTTTTTTTATTAGGAATCTTTTCAGAAATTGCAAGCAAACAAAATACTGCCTGAGATCTTATTGACATAAGCATATATAAAATGAATTACAATCCTTATGTATAACTAATATTCTTATATTCCCATATTCTCCTGTTTGTGTTGATGTATTTTGAAAGTGTCGCACCATTATGAACAGAGAACTAACCAAATCTTCAAATGTAACGAAATTCCTGAAAAAGAATTGACACCATTTTAAATGCCACCATGACTTGTCTTTGGCAACGTCTTAGAAAGACGATATTGGTATGTTGATTAGCATATATCTCACCTAATTTTTGTTCAAAGTATAAAATACTCAATTTGTCAGTCAGGTTTTGACTTTCTTTTGACAGAACATGAAATGGCTGGTTTTACCAAGTAAATGATGCCTTGAATAGAAAAATAATAAAACAGCTACTGTGTATCTTCATTGGACAACACACACACCGGTTTGGCAAAACACATGAACATATACTTGGAGTCATTAATGAAGTGTCAAGTTATTTCTTAAAAGTTGTAAAATCTTTGTTTTGTTTGAAATAAATAACTGAATGGTTGAAAAAATGTCTTAACAGTATGGAAAAACACATCAGGCCCTTGAAATGTCACTTTTACGTTCTTTAACGTCCGATACATTCTGTTATAAATGGCACACTTTTTATTCAAATATCAAATCCACTTGCCACTTAATGTCAATGATTTGCTTGTGCAAGTCACTCTGTCCATGGAAAGTAGAGGACAATACACATGCATTGATGCATTTTCACTGTTGTTCACTGTTCAGGTACCTGTTTGAAATCACAGCTAAAACTGAGACGTTTTCTGACATTTGCTGAAAGGGGCCAGGCTATAGGCCTTTTGGAATCTGGTCAAACTCTGCAGCAGGTTGCTGCCCGCTTTAATGTATTGCTATTGGTAGATTGTGGCAGAGGGTTGGTTGGTCATGGTTTGGGCAGGGATAACGGGATAACTCCCACTGGACATACTCCACTGCACGTGGTCAATGGTAATCTTACTGGACAGCGTTATCAGGATGAGATTCTGGCTCCTATAGCAGTACCATTCCTGCAAGCTATGCATGGCTTTTATGAATCTCTTTACTGCAGGACGACAATGCTAGGCTTCAAAGGGCCAGGACTGTCATGGAATTCCTTAGGCAGCAGGGTGTAGAACAAGAAGGAACTTCACCAAGTTTGACTAGTCATTATATAACACTTGAAACATGACCTTTTTGTCAACAGTGAAGATCCTATACAGCTGTTTTTGAATAAACTTAATAACACAGGGTGGAAGCGCTGTCCACATGAAATATGGAGTTGCCCCCAAAGCAACTCCATTTCCTCGCTGGACAGTGAAAAGAGAACACGTGGCGCAAGAGTAAAGGTAGGTTTTTCCTCGCATTTTCATTATTTTGCAAGTATATCAGGTTTGGCCATTTGGCAGAAGGATCAAGAAAGTTACAGATCTTTCTGTAATTGCTTGAGACCCTCTCTATTTATTGCAATTGCGCGTTAAGCCAGGGCACCTTCCTGAGTATCGAAACAAGATTGTGGAAAATGATCGTTTCAACACGAAATATGACATCCTCATCAGCAGACACACCTTTTTTTGCTGTCAATTCTTAGATATATTGATTTTAGGTCTTCATTCGCAGTTTAGGCTTTAATGTGTCAGTATTTTTTCAATGATCGTCGAAAAATCAATCTGTACATTTTATATGGAGTTGTTCAAGTTTAGCAAACAAACTGTCCATTGCGTTGTGATTTTACTGTCCATGAGCTGACAGTTTATAGTTTTAACCGTCAGGTATGTAATTTTTTGAAAAAATTGATATTTTATACTTATCCTGACTCATGCTTATTTGCTTGTCTCCTTCTTCTTGCGAACTGTAGTGGAAAACTTGTATCTCTTATTGAAGTTCCCTTCAATAAAGAACAGACGTAAAATCACTCCCGCCAAGAGTTATCCTCCCAGCTGTTTAGGCGGGAAACTGTGGCGCCACCGTCCCCACGTGCCTCACTCTCTCCTGATTATGAGCCCGACACTTGAATTTGCACGGAAATCCAAAGTGTCTTGTGGGGAGGTTGGGAGGGCTTACCTCATGAGTCAGGATAAGTATAAAATATCAATTTTATTAAAGAAATTACATATTTTTCCTTATCCTGACTCATGCTTATTTGCTTGTAGAATCCGACGGAAAAAGGCGGCGGGCAAGATACTTTGGATTCCATGTAGTGATTTACGTCTTCTATACCCCCCTATGGGAACTCCGAGTTGGCACTGTAATTAACTGCTGTGACTCTTACTTCAGTCTTGAAGATAATGCCGTCATCCTTATACATAGGATTAATTGAACTTTTGACTTGTCAGCTTGTAGACTGCATACATCAATGAAGAGTTGTAATTGTAGAATTAATGCTGAACTGTTATAAATTTACTCCGGGAATCGTTGACGAGTATGTATTTACCTAGCTGTGGCAAGGCTGCTGTTGAACTCTGCCAGTGAGAATATCTGCAGATCTGTACGAAAGTGAAGATCTCTATATGGCCATGAGTCTTCTAATGTAGATATATCAATCTGTGTGAATCCCGTCCTGGATTCCGTCTGAAGATCCGAGCCGGTGATGAATTCTGACAAGAGTACCTCTCTTGTACTGTAATACCTGTCTTCAGTCTGTGTACCGACGAAGATCTTTCCCTTCTAGGATGACAATACTTCGTGTCCTAGTTGAATAACCTTGAGGATCTGCGTAGTGATCTGCGTGGTGGTCGGCTTGGTGTGATTGTATGGCTCCTTGCATGTAGATAATCGTCTCGTAGTCGGGATTGCCTACCCGCAATATATACCCGAAATGGTGATTCCCGTGATGATCTCGGCGGCCGTTGTGCCCTTGATGTAGGTAGTCGGCCTGAAGATCCTTTATTAGGCTCTTCATCTGTTGACAGTCTCTGAAGATAGCGCCGTCCTTTGCGCAAGTTGTAGATGATAAGTAGCGTTCTGTTAAGAAGCTAAGTACTGCGACGTCTCCGCTTTGTGAATGGCCTGTGCGAAAGTTTTCGCGCAGGCTCGGTGACGACATGTAGTGTTCTGTTGAGAATCTAAGTATTGCGGCATCTCTGCGTTGTAGATGGCCTGCGCGAATGCCTTCGTGCAGACTTGTAGACGGCATGTGGCGTTCAGTTGAGAGACGAAGTACTGCGATGTCTCTGCTTCGCTGGAAACTTGCGTGACGACCTGCGTGAAGACCTTCATAGAGACCTGCGCGTAGACCTGTGTGGGGATCTGCGTGGAGATCTGCGAGGAGATCGACGTGGTGAATAACCCGACGAACTGTGCCTGTAGGGTGACCTGTGGGTTCGCGAAGGTCCTGGTGAATCCCTCGACGATCTATGGGACGAAGATATCTTGTACAATGTAGCTGACGTCCTTCGCGAAGGCCTTCGCGAAGCTTCATCTGAGTCCGCACTTGGGAAGTGGCGACTGGTCCTTCGCAAAGGCCTTCGCGTAGGCTGGCCAGAGTCAAGGTCTGGGGATGAACGATTCTTTTGCGTGAACGCTTCCGTGAACGTTGATTGTCCGAGCCCGTAGCAGGTGAAGATCGTGTAGCCCTTCGCGAAGGTCTACGCGAATGCTGATCGTCTGGGTCCTCCACAGGGGTAGGCTGGGTCTATCTTCACGGAGGCTAGTCCGTTGAAGTTCTGACGTTCTTCGCGAAGGCCTACGTGATGCTGGTAGAAGTCTCGCTGATGGTAGGTCCCTCAGAAACGCTGTCTGCGTTGGAACCTTCATGAAGGCTCGGGACCTCGTTGTGGGCTGTGACTTCTTTTCCAGGCCGTAACGCTGCTCTATCATCTCCTGCATAAAGTCCCCCGGGTTGAAGGTCTGCGGTGGTAGTAGCGCTGCCCTTTCTGCGGTGATAGCGACGTGGCCCACAGGACGCTCGTCTGTTGTCATCGTAGATACCTCGGGTACTGTGGATATCTGCGCTGAAGTCACCGTAGCTGAGACTGGTCGTTACTTGTGATGACCTCTGGGAAGATGATCAGTTGATCATCGGAGAGTCCCTGTACCGTCAACGGAGCAATCTC